TTGAGCATCTGGACTTCAAGATGGATGGATATAAAAACAAATTGAATTTCAAGCTCTAAAAAAATGGCATCTTATAACAAGTTATCTAAACTATCTATTTTTTAAGTGTTTATAGATATGTTCGATCTGCATTATTTTTGAAATTTCCAATTTCATAATTAAGGTGGAATATGGATTTTTAAATCAACATAAGATTTCAATACCAAAACTGCATCTTCCGGCAAAATTTACGAGCCTTACCTATATACAATAAGGTGGGGACTTTATACAAACCTCACCCCAAAATTATTCTAGAAACTACGTGTTAATTTCTTTCCAATATTTTCTTTAGGCAAATTATTTCTTTTCAATATTTATTGTGACATGTACACGATACTATGAGTGTCGCTATCAAACAATTTCGCATCGTTGGTGTGTAATGTCTTAGAACAGGGGGTATGAGGTTCTCAAGCGTGGACCCAAAGCTCCACTGAAGATTAGTGTCTTAGAACCATGACTGTTAGCCCACTCAATCACTCATTGGGCTGATTTGGATCGACAATTCTGATCTGGAGCAACAAGTTTCTGAGGCTGAATAACAATGACACAAAAAAAAAGGGAGAAAAAAAAAGAAAAAAAAAAGTGATGCAAATCGGGCCATTCTGGGTGTTCCATAAACCAGGACAACGCACCCAACCTAACCTAACCTGGATCAGAAGATTCTGATATGGTTCAGCGTTTCTTTAAAGGCGAGGATCTCAAGCATGGATATTTGCAACCTTCTCGTACTTGCACAAACTATGGATTCGATTATTGTTCAGAAACTCGACTCGGCCAAGGGCCTCAGCCCTTCCAAGTAGAGAGAGGGTCACGTTCTGCACAACCCCAAAATATATAAAAATTGTTAAAAATAAGAAAAAATATAAAAAAATCATTAGAGTTCTAAAAATATTAAATAAATAATAATAATAATAAAATATTGAATGAAAGATTGTTATTGAAAGATCTAGAATATTTTTGAAATTTTTTTAAAAAGAAAAAAAACATGAAAGTTCCCAAATCATCTTAAAAATTTTAAGAAAATATCCAAAAAATTAATTGTAATAATGTGGTGATTGTTTCTAATTTTTTAATTTCTTCTATTTCTTATATTTTTTTGTCAATAGTAGGGCGAATTTCTGACTTTTCCTCGCACGTACGGCGGGATAAAATCCTCTCTCAAACAACTGCGGAGGGTCTGTGCATGTTGGCGGGATAAAATCCTCTCTCAAACAACTGCAGAGGGTCTGTGCATGTTGCACATTTGTTTGTGTGCATGTGCGTTCTCTCATTTGTGTGGATAGGAACCAATAATGAGGAGATTTTACCATAGGGGTGCGTTTAGGCACCTAACTTGTCGTTGGGGGTTTCGGGACAGGCCTGGGCAGTTTGCCCTCTTAGAACAATTACGAAGCCCTCCGGTTGTTTGCCAATGCGGTTTAGACACGAGCACTCCTCAAGCTTTAAGACGTCGCCTTGTTCTCTTGTGTTAGAAACGGCAATGTGAATTCCACGATATTCCTCTATAACGGTTCACTCAAACGGGGGCTGGCTGGCAGAAGAAAAAATGAGGGGAGAAATAGTGACAAGAATCCCCCTATCCGCATAAACT